TTTCTCTGTCTTACATGTTTATGATCATCTAATGTCAATTAGCGCATAGATTGCACTAATTTAAGGTTTTTGTGGTAACCTGGATTTTTATTCTCAGAGCCACTAGAATGCTAATTACTTTACTTATCCTGCCATAGAAGAGATTCTTGCTGGCACTTGATGAATCCCTTTATGAATACTAGTCCATCTTCTCAAATCCCATCAGAGTTGTATGAACCATACAAATCACGTTGTGGTGTTTTTCTTATTTTCTTGAGCATGTCAAAAGTTAAGTTTGTTACAGTGGGCTGCACAGTCCTACCTGCTGAGGCCAAAGCAGCACGCGCTGTGCAGAGCACCTTCGAGGAACCGCAATGGTTCACTAAGGCCTCGGTCCTACAAGTACTTTTGTTCATGTTTAACTCCTCTGCGGTGTGGGTAGTTATATGGGCAAGCACATGGCTACCCTTTGGAAAATTTAGCATGATAACTAGTTCTGTAAAACTCCACGGCTTTTTTGGCCTGTAGCTGCGAGGCTGTGTCTGAGAGGCCAGTCAGAGCCAAGAGCAGAGCAGCTTTTAATGAGTTTGTCGCTGGGGCTTCTGCAGTATTTTGTTTCAGTTTGTGCAAGAGTTTCACAAATTAATGGGGATTATTTATTTGTTTTAAAATTTAAAATTCCCTGAGCATGAATTTCCACATAACTCTGTGAAAATATATTCATACTCTCTTGACACTATAACAGAAAGTCTTGAAGGAGCCTTCCGTAGGAAAATAAAATAAATAAAACAGTTTCCTCTTTCAGTTCATTCCTTATAATGTGGTCATCTGTTTCATGGTAAGAAGAGAATTTCTGATCAACTTCTTTATGGAAAGAATGTGCTGCGAAGGTCCTTGGGGTGTGCAAGTCAGAGAACTGTTGGATGAGGCACTTCAGATGAATCCAAGTGTGATATAGTTGCTAAGGAGCAGAAAAGAAGTCTAAAAGCAAGAATCTAAGCTATAAAGTAATGTTTTTTGGTCAAAACACAGTTGGAAACAAACTGGGAGCCAAAGTGGACTACACTAAGTGGACATACCACAGCTCTTTTCTGGAAGGAAACATGTCCTTCTCGGCCTGGAGCCAGGGACAGTTCTAGGTCAAGAATAGTTTGAGTTGGAAGGGACCTTAAAGATCATTGAGTTCCAACCTCCTGCCCTGGGCAGGAACACCTCCCACCAGACCAGGTTGCTCAAAGCTCCATCCAGCTTGGCCTTGAGCCCCTCCAGGGATGGGGCAGCCACAGCTTCTCTGGGCAACGTGTGCCAGTGTCTCGCCAGTCTCACTGTCAAGAATTTCTTCCTAACACCTAATCTAAATCTCCCCTTTTTCAGTTTGAAACCATTACCCCTCGTCTTATGGCTACATTCGCTCATAAAGAGTTCCCCTGTCCATATCCTTCCTGTAGCCCCCTTTAGGTACTGAAAGGGAATCTAAGGTCTCCCTGGAGCCTTCTCCAGGCTGAACAACCCCAACTCTCTCAGCCTGTCTTGGTAGCAGAGGTGCTCCAGCCCTCTGAGCATCTTTGTGGCCTCCTCTGTACCTGTTCCAATAGTGCTGTAGCTGCTGGTTCCAGGATTAAGTTTTTGGAAAGTCAAATGAAGGGCCAGCAGTGCAACTCTTGTCTGTCTTTGTGATGATCCATGAATTTACCGGTGTTTCCAGGGATGAATATTTTTCACAGCCAGGTCATAGCTCTAAAGGTGCCAGAAAGTGCACTTGCAAGTGACTTTCCAGGCCTATGGATGTGGGAAGGGTTTCTACTGTTAACATGAAGAATGAGGATGAAATTTTGAACTGATTTACACAGCCCTTGAAGGATTTGAACTTTTAGTGTCTGTAACAAATCTTTATCATAAGATCAAGAATAAAAGTGAAGAGAGGAAGAAAGCAAAGAGGGATCTGGTTATTACTAAATGTGACTTACTGTAATCTTGTTTCTGGCATTTTCCTTAAAAGGAAGATCCACCTCTGAAGAGGGAGTCCCAGAGGAGCTGGTGCCCCAGAGCTGGAAATGGTACCAAAGAAAGATTTGGAGATGCTATGGTTACATGGATGAATAAATAGCTGTGCTCACTTTCCAGTTTTCCACTAGAAAGTGGATTTTTGCAAACTCTATAAACCTGTGCACTGGATTGTTTTATGTTGTAAATTAGATAAAGTAGTCTGAATATTGTTATTGTTTATATTATGGCACTTGCAATCAAACTTAAAGCAGGTGAATGACTTGTGTGGATAAAGTTCTATTCTGTTTGGGGAGTCAAGGCATGTTAAAAAGTAGCAATAGGGCTCTACTGTGAAATAATAAGAGAACAGATATTTATTCTTCTCAATTGTGCATGGAATGAATTGAAAGAGTGCTAGACATTGCAGTGGGTAGTGGAGAAGATACATTTTTTGTGGGAAAGCGTGAGCAATACTTGTGTTGTGGCTGTCTATTGTTGGCAGAGGAAGGGTTAGTCCATTCTGTTGCTACTGTCTACTTTCTGTTTCCTAATTCAAAGTCCTCAGTTTGAATCAAATCCTGACCCCAATGATCTAATTTGCAATTCTGCTGTTGGCTTCAGTCTGACCAGGTTTGTGTATTTATTACCTGGAATTGTTTGTCTTGCTCTGTGAATATGACAACATGTCCTGGATGGCTCTGTTACTTCAGCACAGCGCAAAAGGTTTTGAAATGTGTGTACATGCAAACGCAAACAAGGCATATATATAAAACGTCCACAAAATATTTTATAGCTGTTCTTAGATACTACAGGAAGAACTATGATTATAAGGAATTAATAGTTACTGAAATGGAAATTTGAAATGGAACTATTTTCTTCAGCTTGTTCTACCTTCTTGGAAATACAGAATTCCAATTCCCCCTGTTTAAATTTGGGGCCGTTCTCCTGCTATGACCATATCTATATGGCCTGCATAGCCTTCAGTTCTGCAGCCACACTTAGAAAGTAGTTGACAGTAGCTGTCAAGGTTTGCTTTTTTATTTGGGTTTTCTTTGAGTGGTTGTTTTGTGTATGTTCTGGGTTGTTTGGCGTTGTTTTTTTCCGCCAGCTTGCTGAACTGTCTTTATTAATAATTAATAAACCACTTGGGAATGGTGATATGGTGCTCCCCCAGACAGTGGTTCCAGCTGCAGGAGTGACAGAAGTTCATTGATCAGCCCAGCGCAGAGCATTGTTATTAACCTGGCAGGAGTCTACCAGAGAGCGATCGAAGCAGGACAGCAGCGCCAGGCTGGCCTCCTGCTCAGCTCCTCTGTGGGCATCTGCTTCCCTGAAACGGTGTCTGAGGAAGCCTAGCATTTAGAAATCAAGAAGAAATAGAACCTGTATTCAGCAGAATATGAAACAACTGCAGCTTCTGCTTTGTTTTTACATTGGAAGGGATGTTTTCCATGATTAAGCAATAAATGACTTAATTTATGCATTAACAACAACTCCTAGTGGATCTACGTGGTTGAAGATGATTCAGAACTAGTGTTTAGGATGTTAACTAAGATCTGCATGAGTAATTCTGAAATCATTCATGGGCTTGCTAGAGAGTGATGGTTTGGGGAAAAATGCCTAGATGTTGTTGTGGTTCAGAATGATGCTCTTAAAAGTAATTTCCATATATTTCTGCGCAAGAAACCTAACCTGTTTAGCAGCTTGCACCTTCTTTCTGTCTTCTGACCAGGTATTAACTGCCAAAGAGATAAAGTTTATATTTAACAAGGATGAGGTCAACATGAGAGGAAGAGTGAGTATCATTATCACTAGAGCTTCAGCGAACAAGACCTTTTCTCTTTACACCTTTTTGCACTTTAAGGAAAGAATAGCCTTGGATAATGTAAGACTCATGGTCTTGAGATATGGCCCACCCTCTGTGGAGCTCACTCTTCTTGGAGGCATTTCTCCTTGGATCTGGGGGAGCTGGAGAAAGGTTGTCTTCATCCCTTGCATGTGGCTGCAGGAAGCAGGACTTTTTTCATGGGGAAGGCAGAGGAACTCAGGAAAAACTGAGAACACGCTGCTGGGGGCTGCCACACTCCATGTGTTTTTCTCCATATTTTCTTAGGAAAGATTTTAATGGTGAAAAGCATAGGGCTTTTCTCAGCAAGAGTCATATTTTCAGTGTTCTCTGAACACAAAAAGAGGAATATAGAAACAGAAGTGTTTGAAGGGAAACAATATGCTGTGAATAATGTTGACTGGAAATGCGACTACGTGTTTGGGGTGGGGTTGTCCGCCATTGAAAGTAATAGAAACACAGCTGTATGTTATCCATTGGGGTTTGGCTTATTCTGGAAGCTAATTTTTAAGAAACTGAGGGTTATTTATTGGTTGTGTCACAGGAGTATTTGGACTGTTCTAATCCCAGTCTTCAGTATTTTTACATTTCAAGCCATATAAAGGAGAACAAGATAGACAGTGCGTCTGCCCCAGTTCAGCAGAGTGGGCTCTAACCAGACTCTGTAAATACACTCTCTTCTGTGTTGTTTCTAGCCACAGCAGTACTTTTCAAATTATTTATGTTCTTCTAAAATTCACTCAGCAAAAGCAGTTGTCATGCTACAGTATTGCATTCAGGCCTTGAAGTGTTGCAAAGGATACTTTGCAATGTGCTTCAAAGCCAGTTTGTTTTTTACAAGGGGAGTGAATGCCAAAGCTGGCAAGGCTTTTCCTTCAGGATGTGTAAAAGGAATCCCCGGGGGGTGTGTGTGGCTGGTACTCTCACAACAACGTGTGTTTTATATGCAAGCATATAGGTGTGTTTAAATGCAGAGAGCGACACTCCAGTTGGATTTTATGTCATGAAGAAATCATACGATTTATCTGAACAGCAGCAAGATTTTCTCTCTCCCTCCCCATCTTTGCTGGGCAAATAACCAGCCGGCTCACAGCCCTCCAATCACCCCGGGCCACTGAACCTCCACCCCTCAGCCTCCACCAACAGCTCTCACACTACCTACAGCTGGCTTTTCAAAGCAAATATTTTATTGAAATCACTTTCGGTTATTACTCTTCGATTTAAGACAGCAGAAGTTGGGGACTGGGTAAGAGGAGCAGAAGTTTGCCCAGCAGAAGTTGCTCTGAATCAGGTTTGTAATAAGGTTTACTGCTGAAAGTAGTAACCTGAAAGCAATGTAACTTATCACAGGAACCTTTGCCTTTAACATATGTGCTTTTTGAGCCGCAGGAGCTGTGGTATGCAATATTGCATTTAGTTTACATCACAGCATTACAGTGTCTCTGACAAAATGCAAATTACAGCAGTAATATAGAGAAGATGCAATTTATGTTTTCCTTCCCAGTCTGACTGGAAGGTGTTTCTGGTTTTGGATGATAAAGCTTTCTTTTTCCAATTTATAGATGTCACATTTCTGTTACAGGTGCTGCTTTCCAATTTTGGGGCTTTCATTATTATTTAAATACACTACTTTGCATATTCCAAGACATTAGGAGTTTTGTGAAAGTCTTGGGCACAGCATCATCTTTTAGGACACTTGCAGTAAAATCATGTATTATCTGTGCATGTGTGTGCACACACACACAAATCATAGACTGCATCTAGTTTTGCTTCACCTCTGAATTCTTTTACTTTGATATATTATTTCACTAGATCTAATCAATGCAATAGTACAATTTTGAATAAGGCTAAATGTACTTAGGAGCAAATGAATATTTGCATACAGATGGAAAATATAAAATATAAACTTTTACAGGTTTTTTTCAGGAAAATGAGGCTGAAGGAAGACTCTAAGTTATTCTGTATACAGTCAATATATATTTATTTTTTCCCATTTTCAGTGTGTTGCAAATTTATTGGAGTCTTTTCTCTCCAATTTGTGCTGTGTAAAATGTTAAACTACTGCATCTAAAATGTATAGTGTATAAATATATAGTTACAGTATATAATATTAGCTCAACAAAATCGTTTATAAGTAAAGTATCTTTAAGTTACTTTTGCTTCAGGAATCTTTAAATATACATCTCAATAACAGTATTAAAACTTTTTGAGGTTTTATATGGCTTTATAGCAGTTGCTTTCCACGTGAGATTTTTATCTTTTTTTATTAGTGCTTTTTTATAGAAGATTTTGTAGGACAAGTTGAATGGGAACTGTAGGAAAACTTTGGGTTTTCCCACCTGTAGCTTGGGTTTGATGCGTACTAACTCAAACCATTTATTATATGTAATTAAATTAACATGTTATTTTAATGGAAGAGTGTGATGATATATGATATGTTACTTTTTTGCTCCAGTACCCACCTGTTGTTTGTGGTTTTGTTTTGGGGTAGGAGGCTGTTGGGTTATTCTCACATGGAAAATACTTTACAAAAATGTTAGATTTTATACAGCTGTGAAGCAGCCAAAGCACTTCTGAAGAAGAACGCAAACTTTGCGGCTGGAGACTTTGTCCCTTGCCTTGTGTTTGTAGTTACAAGTTTTTTGGCACCAAACTTTTCCTGCTAGACCCGGGCTAACAGTAAACAACCGTTAAATGTCCCTGATTATCCATTTGACTGGAGGAGCTGGTGTGAATTACAAGGCTGAACTCATCTCCTTGAGTTAGCATTCAGATGCGTGGTGGTCAAGCAGTAAATTATCTGGTTTATAACTGGCCGGGAAAGAGTGAAAGTAAGAACCTGCTGTTTATCGGCAGCTACTGTAGAGAAAAAAACCCAAGACAATAAAGAAAAAAAGGGATTGGAGAAATATCTGTGCTTATTCAGGTACTCTGACAAATACCGTGAATGTCCATTAGACATGAAGAAGCTTTTGGGTTTTTTTCCCCCCTGTGTTAGAAAAAATCTGTCCAATTTCTTTCCTGTCTAAGGGACGTCCTCCTGCCCTGCCTGTCTCCGTGTTGCCTGTGGTTGAAGGGGTAAAGCTGCAACGCGGGCGGCATTGCCATTCTTTCTAGGAATGCCTTCAAGGAAGGAGGAGGCTCGAACACGGGCTGAACATTGGTCCTCAAGTCTCAGGCAGCTGGAACTGGGGCTTCCCTTTTCATGTGAAGTCCTCCTGCCCTGCCTGTCTCCGTGTTTGCTGTGGTTGAAGGGGTAAAGCTGCAACGCGGGCGGCATTGCCATTCTTTCTAGGAATGCCTTCAAGGAAGGAGGAGGCTCGAACACGGGCTGAACATTGGTCCTCAAGTCTCAGGCAGCTGGAACTGGGGCTTCCCTTTTTCAGAGGGCTGTTGGAGGCATATTCCGTGTCGCAGAATAATCTGTAGCTAAAGAAAGACTCGGTCCAAAAGAGACTTCAGGAGTGCAGTGACCCAGCGCGCGCAGAGCCAGGGAGCTGCCACCTCTGTGGTAGGCAGCAAAAGGACCGTGCCAAGGTCAGTGACAAATGGACTTCACAGGTGTTTGCTTGTGACAAATGTCTCCGTAAAGTAGACTTGACCGAAGGGGAGCCTAGCGCAGGGTTGAACGCGTGGGAGAAGTGACAGGTTGGGTCTGCTCCTCACCTTAATTTGAAATAACTGCACGCTGCTGGTGAGCACAAGGGCATTTTCCTATGCTTAAACTCCGTATAAGATCAGGATTGAACCTTTACTCTGTTTAAAACTGAATGAACAGCTCAGCCTACCCTGACTGATTGTTCTTTCAGGCTGCATGCCAACGCTGGTGCATCCAAGTCTGCTTGAAGAAACGTAGGAGAGGTACTCCGGGGATGCCTCAGGAGCACTGTGAGCTCTGTTAGCAGGAGAGCATTAAGAGAGCTCACTGCCTTCTTGACCGATTACCCAATATAGTACCAAAAACCCCGTTTCCCAAGCTGTCAAGTGTGCTTGCCCAGGAAGGCTTAGAGAAGAGCCAGCTGTGCAGGACCTTCAGCAGGGGCCTGGGTCACTGCTGGTGGGGCTCGTGGCAGCAGAGGCCATAGTGGTCTGCTAGGATGAGGCAGGCTTAGGCTGCAGCTGGGAAAGGAAGAAGTAAAAAGAAGCTGTTAGGAAAATACTGAGACATGCTGGTCAAAAAGTAAGAGAAATAATTTTTTTTTCCATGTTCACTTACCCTACTTCATGTTCCCCTCTGTCCTAACGATAAACAGAAAAAGGAAACCATGAGATTTGCCCAGTGGTGCTGGCACAGGAATAAGACCCTTTTTAAGAGCGTGAGGTTGCAGCCAGTGCAAGCTTATCTGGGACAATGCTGCCACCAAAAGGCACTTCTTTACCCCTGTAGGTTGGTATTTGAGCACTTGGCCACAGCCTTAGGATAAGCTGTGCTGGTGGGTCACCATGCATCTGCACGGGATCAGAGCCCGGGCTGTTCTCTTGCCTTGAGCAACACATTAAAGGATATAAGAAACGTTACACTTGTCAGTGATTTCTGAAGGCACTTTGTCACCACTTACCTGTGTCACTTGGTCCTGTGTGGCGGCCAGATATCCTCATAAGCTCATCAGTTCTTCCTGCTGCACCTTCTTGTCAAATATGAGGAGTATGGTAATATAACATCTGAAGTGATTGCTATAGCTTCAAAAGTGTCATTATGGAAAAAAAAAAATCAACAGTGGCCTTGGGGAATATTTGTCAAAGTGCAGCCCAGGATAGACAGACCTGGCTTGGGGGGAGTGGAGTGCCTCAGCCTCAGGCCCAAGGAAAGGCTGCTCTTGCTGAAGAGCTCAGGAGGTGCAGCAGGGGATTTTGGCTGAGCAGTTCGGTGTTGATTCCCCACAGAAGAGCTTATGGATCTCTCCTGCCTGCCGACATGCGCATCGTCTTAGTTCTGAAGCTGATGTGTGAAATCTCCTGGGAGCCTGGCAGGCTGAAAGGATTGCCTCATTGCAGCAGAGCTTTGGAAACCTGCCTGTCTTGCCTCCTCCTGCTGTCCTGGGGCAGCTGTCACCTTTCTAATGGGCATTAAGCATCACTGCCCAGAGCTGTTCAATTCCATTCACCATCCTTTAGCAACTTCCCTTTACTTGAAAGCGAATTAAGACCGGTTTTTTAAGAATGCTCTTTGAAGACAGAAGTGGCATGTCTGAGTGTACTTGGGGAGTTATTACAGGAACAGGAAGAAAATTATTTCTGCATGGAGATCTCTCCCTTTTTCATACCCAAGGGGATTTTTTTTCAAGCGATCTCACATTCAGGATGTCAGTTCTTTTTGTTCTAGGATAAAATACTGTTAAGTGAGCTCTCCATCTTGATGCAAAGTCAAGTGGATTAGCTTAATGGGTTGTACTACTGTGAGTAGAAATGCTTCTGACTGGTCCAGGAACTGATACAGACCTGTGAGGAATCTCCCAGCAGAATATCTAAATGAAAGAGATTCTCAGGTCCCAGGAGGGTTCCACTTAGCAAATCATGATGAGAGTATGGATATTTATGGTATGGGTTGTCCAAAACATCAGTCTGGGGAGATGGCAGATGGTATCGCTTAATGCTTACCAAACTCTTAATCGTCAACAATACAATTCAAACAAATACTTAAAGGAAGGCAGAACTTGTACATTAATGCTGCCTCTTGGAGATATTCTTTTCTATGGGATGCCCATGTCCAGTCTCCCAAGGAAATGCTTTGGACCCTGAGCTGTCATCCCTATTTATGTTGGTGCTGATGCTTATCTTAAAAGTCCTTACGATATATGAGATAATAGACGACTGTTGTGGTTCAGATTTAGAAATGGTTAAGAAGTTGCCATTCACAGATAAATAAAAAAAATTCTTCTTTTTTCCAGCAGAGTAGTTAACCTAAAGATAATGGATATCTTTCCCTGGGGAAATAAGTGCTAAATGTAAAATTAGGAATACTGAATCTCTAATTTGTTTCCTGGGGAAAAACACAGAAGAGTGTAAATATATTAATTAGGTGGTGTGATTAAAGTTCTTTATGCAAATATGTTTTTGCACTATTTTTCACCTGTGTCCGTGCTACCTTTTATGTATTGTAATAATGTCTTTTCTTTCAGAGCTCTACATCCACCATGTTGCCCTGTGGACCAGCCTTGTCCTTTGTTCGGTGTCTGGTGCGGAAGAAGAACGTGAGTGGTGAAAGCCTGGAGGACTCCAAGTTGTGCCGATGCTTGTCGACGGTGGACCTTATCGCCCTGGGAGTAGGCAGTACCCTGGGCGCCGGCGTTTATGTCCTGGCTGGAGAAGTAGCCAAATCTGACTCTGGACCCAGTATTGTCATTTCTTTCCTCATTGCCGCGCTGGCGTCCGTGATGGCGGGTCTCTGCTACGCCGAGTTCGGTGCTCGCGTCCCCAAGACTGGCTCTGCCTATTTGTACACTTACGTAACTGTCGGTGAGCTCTGGGCTTTTATCACCGGTTGGAATCTCATTTTATCCTACGTTATAGGTAAGAGTAAGAGCAAACACAGTCTCAAGGGTTTCTGAGACAGCAGATATAAGAGATTTCACAGAATCACAGAATCTTCTAGGTTGGAAGGGACCTTAAAGATCATCTTGTCCAACCGTCAACCTAACTGACAAAAATAGACACCCACACAACAAACAAGGAGCATCATCACTAAACCATACCTCCCAGCACTTCATCAACCCGTCTTTTGAACACCTCCAGGGATGGTGCCTCAACCACCTCCCTGGGCAGCCCATTCCAATGTCTGATAACCCTTTCAGTGAAAAAATTTTTCCTAATATCCAGCCTGAACCTCCCCTGGCGCAACTTGAGGCCATTTCCTCTTGTCCTGTTGCCTGTGACTTGAGAAAAGAGACCGACCCCCACCTCTCTACACCCTCCTTTCAGGGAGTTGTAGAGGGCAATAAGGTCTCCCCTCAGCCTCCTCTTCTCCAGGCTGAATAACCCCAGCTCCCTCAGCCTCTCCTCATAAGACTTATTCTCCAGACCCCTCACCATCTTTGTCGCCCTTCTCTGGACCCGCTCCAGCACCTCAATGTCTTTTTTATGGTAGGGGGCCCAAAACTGGACACATTTGGGTCTGTCTTTCTTTTCTGTCTCTCTACTTAGCTACTATTGCTTTTTACTCCTGCTGGGATCAAAGAACAAAGGTATTTTGATTAGGTTGTTTCCATCACCGTTGTAAACACGTTGTTTGAAAGATGCTTTTGCAAACGGTGCGTCTGCAGCAGCATGGACTGGAGACCTTGTATGAAAATAGTGTCAGACACAGGTCAGTGATGATGCACAGCAATAAACAGGATTTCTTTGCTGTCCTTGGTCAGCAAGAATAATTTCAGTAACATCAATAAGCATATGTTTTTTGAGTATACACAGCAAGGACATTTAGAGGGAAACCATTGCTATAGTATCTCACTTCAAGAAAGTAATGAAGCTTAAGTACTAACTTTTTACTGTAACCTCATGCTAATTAAATGGTGTCTAATCATGTAATCCCATAAAATACAAAGTTGACCAGTTGATCTGAATAAAATTAATGCTTATATGGCAGATATTCAAATAACTATTTCAGTGCCTTAGCACAGACAGCATTTATTGATTCAACAATGTTTTCTTCCAGAGGTACGTGCTCCAAGCATCCATTATATTGTGTATAAGCACACCTAGCTGTATCTGTGTACCCAACTACAGGACTGTTGCCCAAATTGCTACAAAATCAATATGCCTGAGTATTGTATTTGTAAGTGTATTTTGTGATAGGAGAGTGGTAAAAATAAGGTTGTATTTAGCTGTGGCCCCATACATGTTTTACTAGAGGAGAGTATTTCTCTTAAATACTGCCTCCAGTAATATATATCTTCCCAGTGATTTTTTTGCTTTACTTCCAGGTGAACAATCTTTTTTTCCTGTTCTTTCTGGAACTGCTTTTTTACTTCACTTTATATCATTTAACATACACCATATTGTAACTTCAGAAATAAGTGTCTTCCAGAATGACATCAAATATAAATGATACTGTAATAATATCTCCAATATTTTGGGAATAAGTGGAGGTACACATTTGTAAATTCTAGTCATAGAATAATATGTTATCATTTAACTATGTATAAAAATTCCAAAATGTTAAAATTCCTTGGCAACAAGATAAATCACTGGTTTAACACAAGCTCTTCAAAATGCAAGTAGCAATATGCTTAGTTTTATTTCCTTTTCAGCAGAAGTATCTGTATCTGTGTATGTATGCCAAACTCTAAACATACATGTATTTTATGAAGGTACATCAAGTGTGGCAAGAGCCTGGAGTGGCACCTTTGATGAACTTCTTGGAAAAAAAATCGGTCATTTCTTCGGAACCTACTTCAAAATGAATTACTCTGGGCTGGCAGAGTATCCTGACTTCTTTGCTGTATTCCTTATATTGCTTTTATCAGGTAAGACACATATACGGCCTCATTTAGAGTGTTTCTTACAGACAAAAATGCTAAATTGTAGTTTGTGTTTCATGAGAAATACCTTTATAATGTCTGAGATGTTTAGATGTGCATATGTGCATTTACACAATGACTTTGGGAATTAAATTTATATAATGTAATTTTCACGTGTACCCTCTTGTTTTGAAGATAAGAGATGAAATAATAACTTGTCAGTACTTTTTTATACAGATTGATGTAACAGGAAAATTAACAGTTTTGTATGGTTTTTATGGCTTTTATTACCGGTGAATGCATTCAGAGGGACCTTGAGGTTAAGCTCTGTAGTTTGGTAATGATGTGATGTGCTCTCCTTAAATCACACATTGTGCATGTAGTGGGTATTTGTAAGGGGTTTTTTTCCCTCTAAATTGTTAACTTACTCAGTATAAAATAACTTTACCCTTTCTAAGTCTTCAGGAGAATTGTCTAGCCTAGAACTTGTTTGAGCTAAAGAGCACTCCAAGGTACTGGCACAGCTTTTTGAGGGATTGGAAAGCCCAAAATTACTGCTACTTGTTTGCATTTAACAATTGCTTTCCCCAAGGAAACATTCTTACTGCAACCAGGAGAGAAGGAAGGAATATGTGTGTTTTGTTTTTAAGGGTATGGTTTGTTTTCAGCCAGTACTGCAAGTATTTCAGTGTTCAGTAGAGGTCTTACCCAGATCTCAAATATTTGTTGTGTTCAGTCTCTCTTTAGACCAAAGAAAAGCAGGAGCTTTTATTCTCTGGAAGGTCAAATTGATAAGTTTTATGGATATAACCTTCTGTTATCTTATTCTGTTATGAGGGGCTTTTTTGGACTCACTACTTAAGAAAACATTTCCATTCAACTCCTAATGCCAGAAGGAGTGGCCAGTGCATCCTAAACTTTTATTAGGTTTCTATACATGAAAACATGGGCTCCTACAGCAGTAATCCTTAATTTATAGCTGTGCTTGTATCTTCATTTCTTCCTTCTGCCTCTTTTGGCTTTGTTCATTTTACTGGAAAAAAAAAAAAAGAGTGAACAAAAAATACATAAGATGCTGAAGTCCTTATTTGAAAAATGTTTGAGAACTGCATTATTTGAAAGATTTAGGATGTACCTACACTGTGAGTCACATCGCAGTGTAGGTATTCCCAAGGTGACTCAACACCCATACTTCCAGAAATTTTACCCAAAATTTTTGAGATGGTTGTCACATGGTCACTAAAGCAAGCCACGAGAAACTAGCAAAAGTATGAGGAGGTTAATTGTGCAATTTTAAGAGTAGAATATTACTCAAGTGCATTAATTTTGTAGAAGTTTTGAAAATAAATGCCTTGAGACTAAGAAGAGTGCCTGTTGGTGTCCTGTGTCTGCACTTAGGAAGATCCAGGAGTTTACTAGACCAGCTTTAGTCCAATGTCCTGCCAGGCTTGTGGTTCGGAGCTGCCTATGGGACCAGCTCAGAAACCTTATTTCTTCAGAAGTGATAGGATTGAGTTTGGTATAGCTGGAATGGTCCTCTCATTTTCACCTTCTCCAAAGGAAGGAGGGAAAAACCAATCTTTTGAAAAGCAGAGCACTCCACAAACCAAACTATAAAATGCTAGTGTAGATACTGCCATCTTATGTCTGTTTTCTCCATTGCCATTGCTGCTTCCTAACATCAGTAGCAGAGATTCTTGACAGAAGAGGAAGTCTTTCTCCTGTGGTTCTCCATTGAGCTACTGAATTTTCATTTCTGTCCTGTATTTTCATCCTCACCGTCATTTCTTCCTCACCTTGTGAATTACCTCCCCGGGTCCCTGTGGAAAGCAGCTGAAGCAGCAGTGAATTGACTGGGTGGGATTCACCAGGGTTGGTGAGGATGGCTCAGGGCTCTGCAGGCTGAGGGTGATACAGTAATTGGATTTAGAGCGGCACAAATCTGCATCATAGGAGTAGCAGATGATGTTTCACAGAAAATGTTATGTGCTAAGCACAGAGGAAAGTCCACAGAAATCTGGTTTTGCTTTTTTAATCATCCCTACAGAAAGGACTTAAAAAAACTGTACACACTGTGTTTCACGCTGTGTTAGGCTGATAGAGACACTGCATTTTTCAGAGAAACTAAGCTAAAGAAAGCACACACCTATTTCCAATAAACATGTGATTGGTGAAGAAAACTTGAGCAGCTCGTGGTAACTTCCGTGCTCTGATAAGATACCAAATGTCTCATTAGCGGAGTTGGACATTTTTTGGACATTATCTGGAGAGGCTTAAAATTTTCAGACTTAATCTCTAAATAATGAGGCAAAGTATGTATGTGATCTTAGTGGAAACACTCAGAGTGCAAAGAACCTGTGGAGGCTTTGCCGTTGTATTTAATTTTTCATGATCTGCTCACTGCCTGCTTTTCCATTACACTGTCACTACACTAAACGTTGTTACAAAGCTAATGAGACAGAAGGATTCTGATAGAATAACTTTCAGATTATTTAAATGCACTGCTCTGCAGCCTAAGGCAAGTGTATTTTGTATCAGACTTTTTTTCCTAGAATCTCTACAAATCAGTGTTTATGAACAGGAGGCGTGCTTTTCTTTTAAAGCTTCTATTAACAAGTTAGGAATGGGACTCTATGGTGCATATACCCCGAAAAACTTAGAGTGAACAGGTCACATTCTACATCTAATAATTTTGATTATGTTATTAATCTAATGAGTAATTGTTCTGTACAGAATAGATCCTACCCATCTGTTTTCATTAAGCGTAGAGTTCTTTTACCTGTTTTTGCTCCATTGCATAAAATAGAGGTATGAATTGGAATCTCAGAAAAGCAGAAAGTTACAATTGCTTAAAATGCTTTTAAATACTTTAGAGAATATAATTAAAGAAGCTTCCTGTTTTATGGTTTCCAGAACCTTTGCCTATTGCCTTGCTGTCAAAGAGTATTGTAAATTGGTGCTACAGTTTTTTGAATGTATAAAATCTATTGCTATTTTTTCATATTATTAACAGTACTTTGATGTATATCTTCTTTAAAATGCCATTTTATTAGTTTAAGAGACTATTCATATCTATAAAATATTTTTATTTTATAGGTCTCTTATCCTTTGGAGTAAAAGAATCTGCATGGGTGAATAAAATTTTCACTGCTATTAACATCTTGGTCCTACTCTTCGTTATGATTTCTGGTTTTGTGAAAGGAAGTGTTGACAACTGGAAAATAAGTGAAGAATATCTCATAAACCTCACTGCAGTAACAGAGTAATTATGCTTTGCTCATATTCCAAGCAATTTTTTGTTATACTTGCTTTTGTGGCATTGCAGGTAATCTATCAACTAATAGCTCTGTTGCTGGGAATGATAAACATTTTATTCCCTTAAAAATAGTGTTTTATTTTCTTGTTTGTAGTTTCTTTTTAAAAAAAAAGTCTTATTTCAATACTGTTGTCCATAGCCATCTGAGAGATTACTGGCTTCTTGTCCTTAAGCCATGTATTTACTGCAGTATGTGAGTGTAACAGCAAGAGTTGCCTGTACCATTAGTGTTTTGGTATGTCTTGCTGCAAAGTGAGTCAGATGGTAGTTACTGATTCGGGCATTATTCCATTTGCTGTTATTTTGTCTTTCTTACAAGCACCAACATAAAAACGTCTTCTCGTGCAGTTTTGTAAAGCAGAACTCTTGTCTTGACAAGAGCATTTTAACATGTGTTTCCAGAGTGATAAGAGAGGAGGATGCATGTGTTTGTCCTACCTATAATAAAAAGCATAACTTCTTTTTGTGCTATATTTTTGTTCTTTATAGGAATTACTCAGCCTTTGATACTGTGACAAGTATATATGGGAGCGGTGGCTTCATGCCCTATGGTTTCACAGGAACATTGGCTGGTGCTGCAACCTGCTTTTACGCTTTTGTAGGATTTGACTGCATTGCAACAACTGGTATAGTACTTACATGTCTGTGTCTGTGTGTATGTATGAGTATACATGTACAACATGCTGTTTTTGTGGAAAAAACCCCACACAAACAACAACAATCTTTAAAAATCAATTTACTTGCTCATATTCCAAGCAATTTTTTGTTATACTTGCTTTTGTGGCATTGCAGGTAATCTATCAACTAATAGCTCTGTTGCTGGGAATGATAAACATTTTATTCCCTTAAAAATAGTGTTTTATTTTCTTGTTTGTAGTTTCTTTTTAAAAAAAAAGTCTTATTTCAATACTGTTGTCCATAGCCATCTGAGAGATTACTGGCTTCTTGTCCTTAAGCCATGTATTTACTGCAGTATGTGAGTGTAACAGCAAGAGTTGCCTGTACCATTAGTGTTTTGGTATGTCTTGCTGCAAAGTGAGTCAGATGGTAGTTACTGATTCGGGCATTATTCCATTTGCTGTTATTTTGTCTTTCTTACAAGCACCAACATAAAAACGTCTTCTCGTGCAGTTTTGTAAAGCAGAACTCTTGTCTTGACAAGAGCATTTTAACATGTGTTTCCAGAGTGATAAGAGAGGAGGATGCATGTGTTTGTCCTACCTATAATAAAAAGCATAACTTCTTTTTGTGCTATATTTTTGTTCTTTATAGGAATTACTCAGCCTTTGATACTGTGACAAGTATATATGGGAGCGGTGGCTTCATGCCCTATGGTTTCACAGGAACATTGGCTGGTGCTGCAACCTGCTTTTACGCTTTTGTAGGATTTGACTGCATTGCAACAACTGGTATAGTACTTACATGTCTGTGTCTGTGTGTATGTATGAGTATACATGTACAACATGCTGTTTTTGTGGAAAAAACCCCACACAAACAACAACAATCTATGTTTGTCCTTTGCTTTCTCCTAAACCTCCTTATGTCCGTGTAGAATGAGGCTGAATTCATTCTTGAATGTGGCTGTCATTCTGGGAGGAAAGGGGAGATTTTACTTATTTTGTTCCTGTTCTAAAGAAATCAATTGTTGCTTTCTAACTCTGGGAAGTGCTTAGTATGCAATTCTTTCTGCCCAACTCATATTAATCACCTGCTCACGTTCACAGTTCTCTGAGATGAGGTGTCTCTCCTAAAGGCTGGCTTGAATATGGTTCTGTGGTAAAATTCTGTAATAGAGAATCACAGAATCATATGAGTACCTTGAACTTATAAATCATAGGTAAATAAATAGAAATTATGTGCTTTGAGTACTCTAAGTATAGAGTGTATTTTATGTCCTTTAGTTTACCTCTATTTTTAAATGCTATTCTGGCAACAAAATATTGAGCTTTGCTCTGTATCACTAAGGTTTTTTTATGCAAACTTTTAAAACTTCTTTTACAAATACAATTCCCATGGATTAGATTAACAAACAATTTGTCTTTGATGTTACCTTTTAAAGCTGAAAATGAAGAATTTTTGGCGCTTTTTTTTCTGCTTTTTTTTTTTTTCAGGAGAAGAGGTCAAAAATCCTCAGAAGGCCATACCCATAGGAATTGTGGTGTCCCTGCTTGTCTGCTTCATGGCCTATTTTGGGGTTTCAGCTGCACTGACACTTATGATGCCATACTACCTACTAGATGAGAAAAGTCCTCTGCCAGTAGCATTTGAATACGTTGGATGGGGTCCTGCGAAATATGTCGTAGCAGTGGGATCCCTCTGTGCTTTATCCACAAGGTAAAGACATTGAAATACTAATTTTATTGGGAAAAGCTGGCGGATAATGTATGACATTTAAATACATGTTCATGCATTCATTTTGAAGGCCCAGTTCATGCAAAGGATTAGCAATAAGTATTATAAGCATATTTTAAATTTAAGCAGGTCTTGATCACAGCAGGTGCATTAATTTAAGTTCCTTTTTTAAACTGTACTGTTATTGAACTCTACTTCTTTGGCTTATTACCAAGAAGTTTTTTTATTAAAATATATATTTTCAGACCTGCAAGTTATCTTTATTAAGTGATAAAATAAACCCCACCCATTTTGTCCTTTCTTGCTGTCCATTCCCAATGACTCAGCCGCTTTATGGGCTCTGTGTATTTGCAGGCAAAATTGAAGAGATGATTAACTAGCTCCACTCCTCATCTTGGTTGCCTGTCTCTGTTTTCCTCCAGTAGCCAGTCTGTCTTCTGACATCATCCCTTCCTGTGGTTTCTGTGTGGGTATTTGAGATGTAGAAAATATGATAATTTATTCCCCTTTGTGAAACTGTGGATGTAACCTTACCTTAATGTATTATTTTGATTAAAAAGATCAGGGAGGGTGTGATATATATTAATGTATGTTCATATATGTTACACCCCAATTCCAATGTTGTATAAAAACTTTCATGGAATAGAACATTGCTTGGTACTTGAATTCAGGAAAACAACATGCCTGTTTAAGCACTAATGCTGCCAGTACTCTGATTTAACCCTGTAAGCATTAGCTTGAAGAAGATGAGCACACTGATTGTGAGCAATGGTTTAAAGGAAAGGAGTATTTTGGTGTAGGAGGGGATAGGAAAAGGAAATAGTTCCAAAATTACATTAAAAGAGCTGTAAGGCTGACTGTGTCGGTTACACAGTTTATTCTGGCATTATAGTTATTTTCTATCCACTTGTCCTGATCCCCTCACTTTGGAGGGTTTCACTGAATTTTTCCTTTATATTTGTAAATGGTAAAAGTGATACATAAGCAGAAACTAGATTAAGGAAATTAATACTGGAAAACAAAGTGAATTGGGATGGTAAAACGCTTTTACAAGTGTATTCTGAAGAATTATAGTTACTCGTATGGAGAGGTTAATATTTCAGTCTGTTGACTGATGTCAGTTTAGAACACAAGAGAATTGTATTTCATATTCCTCAGTGTAGAGGTATAACTAAGAAAAAAATTTGGGATCATTCCTTTTGGCTGTATAGTTACCTCTTACTATGTTATGTCATGAACTTGTTTCCTCAGGGTAGATATGTTTGTTACTTCCATTATTTATAAAGAGGGGTAGCAGAAATAAATTTTACAAAGCCACAACAGGAAAAAAAACAGGCAGTGGGTTTTACCAGTATCCTCATTTGAAAAAATCAATTGTCACCCCTATTTAGGAAGCATTCTTTTTTGGAAGGGACATTCATACATCAAAATGAGTTCCTGTGCAATGAAACTGATTTCACATGTGTCTGACCTTAGCGCTTGTGCCTCATGAGTGTTACTGGAGGTACTTAGTATCTGTGGTACGTAAAGGCTGTGCTTTCTCTAAGTGATACAGTCAATTCCCTAAATTAAGAAAGGCAACCATTCACCTAGGTAAAAAGTAGCGCATGCTTGCTGCAGAGGTGATACTGCTTGTGATTTTGCCTTTTGTCCTTTCAATGTTTTTGGTTTTCTTAATTGCAATTATTTTGCTTTGAGGGAAAGATACCGCCTAATTTAAGAAATATGTTTAAAAAGAGCTTCCAAGATACCAGCAGTTTAAAAGCTGTGTCCTGCTAATAACAAATTTAAATGAATTAGCTTTACTTCATAAGAAAAATGAAACAATCTTAATGAAGCTTTGCTAGAGGTGCTTTAATCAAAAGAAATAATGTGCCCCAGGATAACTGTGTGGTGCTTACTTTGAATTCCTGTTAATCAGCAGCCTCACATGGAAATGTGGAGTGTAAGAGATGCTGCTAATGCTTATCGATTTGCTGCTGCTGACTGACAGGCTTTCCCCAGGAATACTAAAGCTGAATTGCATATTTAGTGGGACCTGGAACATGTTCCGGATCCACTAATACCCAAGAACTACAGTGATGGCAAGAGTTATTTTGCTCATCTGAATTTTCTCTGATGAAGCAATTCTATTACCTAAATTAAAAAAAAAAAAAGCTATTGACTTTACCGTAAAAGAAATTTCTGTTTGTGTCTGATCTGTAGTATCTTGGGCTATGGGGCTTTCTGGTGTTGTCTTACAATCATAAATTTTGTTTCTATACATGCCATTAATTAACATTGTTGATCTTGTCCATGATACAACTCTGCATGAACTGTGTTTGCCATGTTGCATGTGTTTGCTTTTTACTCAGTCTTCTTGGATCCATTTTCCCAATGCCTCGGGTAATCTATGCTATGGCGAAGGATGGGTTGCTTTTCAAATGTCTAGCTCAAATCAATTCCAAAACGAAGACCCCACTAGTTGCTACTCTCTCGTCGGGTGCAGTAGCAGGTGAGACTAAGAGTTGATCCTTGTAAAGAAAGGTGCGCTGCTAAACGCGTTGCAGATGTGGAAATGAACTACTGTTGTGCAGCTTTGATTTGCTTGGGCCTGAAATGATCAAATCAGATTGTTGCCAGGTGAAGTAGGCTACCTGTAAAACTTTTCTCTACCACAGATTTTGCATTTGTTGGTTAATCTCCAGTGCTTTCAAAGCCCAGGTTCAAAATAAACAACCACCCAAACCCAAGAACATCAGTCAACCAAGCCAAAAACCAAGAGCAGCAACACAGAGCCTAAACCAAAACCATACCTAAACCCATTAACTCTTCCAAGCTTTTTTTTTTTTTTTTTTTTTTTTGTGTAGTTGGGTTTACCAGTAAAGCATTGTGCTTTTAATAACCTGTATTTGAACTATACATTTTTCTGTTCTAGTCTTCTCGGCTCTATGTTCCCTTTGCCCCGAATTCTGTTTGCCATGGCACGCGATGGTTTACTCTTTAGTTTTCTTGCCAAAGTGAGTAAGAGGCAGGCACCAGTTTCTGCCACCTTGACAGCAGGGGTCATCTCTGGTAAGCTCTCAAAGCCCGTGTTACTTGAAACTGAGATTTAAACTCTCTATGCACGTGCATGGTACTTTGTATTTTTGAAAGGGGCTGCTTGTTAACTTCCCTTGCATGTACGATGGGAGTAAAATTACCACGTAATCAAAGGGTGTAAGATCTCCAGATCATGCCAATCATGGTGGTGGTGATGTCCTTAATGTCACAGAATTCAAAATGATTTTTTTCAAAAATTTTTTAATATTGGCCTCTGGTGTTGTGAATGAGCTTGTTACTTGATCTGGGTCCCTTACAGGGACCTGCTTTACTTACAGGGTTTCCTTGTCTGATGTACACCTATATATTTATCGCATCTATAAGGGGGGGAAACCGTCACAATTTTTATTATGAGACATGAGGAAAAAAATCTGTATTTGCAATAGGATCAACTTTCATGTAAAATACAAAGATTTTTGAATTTTCTTCCAAAAAAAAAGGATTCTGGTTTTGTATAGGCTTAAACCAAATTGCAGTTGAGGACTATGTGTGTGTGTTGGGGGGTTGTATCCACATATGTGTATCCACATACATGCCCACATATATTTTATCAAAACAGCATTTTGGGAGCTGTTGCCAACGAATTTTTAACATACGGCTCTTTCACTTTTGTCCGTATTTCTTGCTGGGCTACATGTAGTTGTGCCCAAATTTCATTGTCATTTCAGTGGGATGTCTCATTACCCAGGAAAACTGGGAGCTCTAGAAGTATTTAACTCAAAGGCAGATAAATAAGTCTTAAAAGTAATTAAAATATTAAATACATGCCTTATAACATTGGCAACCCTGCTAAAATTGATATCAATTACAAAGTGCAGAATTGAGATGAAAATATTATTATCAAATGTGAAATACATGCCTTATGACATTGGCAACCCTCGCTAAAATTGATATCAATTACGAAGTGCAGAATTGAGATGAAAATATTATTATTTATAGTCAGGGTCATCCACAGATGCCACAAGACTGGAGCTGCTCACACTGTGTAGTTGACAATGATGTGGGAAGGCACAGTCATTGACCGGGTAGTTCCCACCTGAAGCATTATTAGCAGTTCCCTTTTCTTTGGTTAGAATACAAATTAATCGCTTAGAATGACTTTTCTTGTTTTGACTGTATTATTTGAGTTTACGTTATCGACTTTTTCCCCTATAATAATTGGGAAGCGCAGTTATGTGGGATGAAATTAACATCTTTATGAAAGAAGCAGTAATGAGGAGGAGAAAGAAAGCCATGTTAGTGATAAAGTTATACAGTCCTGACTGTAGCTATGCAGCAGCCGTCACTTGGGCTGCTTTTAGGCAGTTTGGGCAATTTGGTGTGTCAAGAACTCACCTGGAAGACAGCCTTATCTGCTGCTGGAGAAGGAGAAATTATTTCTTCTGTTTTTAAAAAGATGCATATTTGGTAACTTGTGGCCATAAAGAGTTTTGCCAGAATGGTTACGGGTGTATGACACAGCTTATATTACCTGGATTTTCTATTCATTCATAGCATGGATAGTTTCAAAACTTTAAAACAAGTTAAGGAAATTAGATGTTTGACCCCTTAATCATAGTTACCAGGTCGAGACTGCAGCTGAGGCAATTGTCACGTGTTGTTAATGTGCCTCACCTTTTCACATGCGGTAATCGCGATTGCGAAAACTCTGCACATAGCGAAATGTTTTGGTGTCAGTCCAAGGTTTCTTCACCATAAATTGATCTACCGTTGTTCCTTACAACTGGAGTTGAACTAAGAGAGGTGGAAAAGCAAATCTGTGTCTTTTTTTCCTCTTAGTCAGAAACTCACAGGAATTTTTCAGTTTGGTTCTAATATAAAAGAATGTTCTGGGCCACAAGTGGCCTTTGGAAGACAGGATTAAAAATTAAATATAGCTTTTGAACATGAGGTTATAGTTGGTTCAGTTGTTCTTCAGCTTTGTTAACCCATGTTCTTCTGAGCATGCAAAGCAGGTATTCGGAAATCTGCCCTGTAAGTGACTTATCAGATTTAGGGGCATCCACTGTCACTAAAGAAAATGGGATGGTCTTCCTTCCTTCATTGGAAAAGGAGACTCCTGGGTGAAATAAACCGTCTGTAACAGCAGTCTTGTTTTCAGAAAATCACACTTTGCTTTCTCCTTCTGGATCAAGTACAAGGGGAATGTGTGTCTGTGTGTTTGTGCACTTATACACCTGTCTACAAATATATTAACAAACATGTAACATAGGTATTTTATATAAGTATTTCTGAATATATAAAAAATTGTGTGTGTGTATACATCACTGTATAAAGGCTATGTTTAATAGTTTCTTTTGATGTTGAGATTACTGGTGATTCAGAAGTATCTTTAGATTCTTTTTGGATCTCAAAAATGTTAATAAAATTCAAAAATTTGAATTTAGTATTTTTAAATTCTTTTTGCATATCAAAAATGTTAATAAAATTCAAAAATTTGAAGAGGTTCTTTGACCACATATATTTCAAATCAATGAGCATTAGCCTTTCATTTATTGATGGCTTGTGCTAATTTCTTTATGAGCTACTTGTGTCTGTGTACAAACAGCGTAGACAAAAAAAAGACATGCCAGAATCTCCAAAAGAATGTGGCATTAGCTTTTATAAACATGAAGACTGTGACAATCACTGTCAGTATCATGGAAGTTTCTGCCTCTGATTTCAGTGATCTTAAGACTATTAATTCCTGTGACATTTTGCTGGCCTTTCCTAGAAGGCCACTTGAACTTAACTTCTTATTTAGTAAGATAATACATTTTAAAAAAACCAAACAAAACCACAAAAGTATTTTATTTGACACAACTCCTGGAAGTCCTCTTTACACAGAGCTCTTTCTCAGCTCAGCAGCAATTTTACATACCAGTGACTTACTGGGTCAGATCATTTTTCCCCAGTTTTGCAGTGGGTTCCATCCTCTCAGCTTTGGTGAGATTCTGTTGCAGGATCTGAACCGCATTCTCTAAAAATGTATTTTTAATGAGGACCCAGTTCAACAGGCCATGTGTGCAAATACTTGTGTCCGTGTAAGTCCAATATGAATTGTTTGATTCTGCAGCACGACTGTAGGGCTCACCAGTGCATATCTATAGGAATGAGATTCCCAGGTGTAGGGAATTGGGTTTGGGAATGTTGGCGATGACTTAAAAAATGTGTTTTTAAGGATTACTGTGATTTCACTGAGATTGCTGTCAGCAAAGCAATGTATAATTACACTGCAGATTGATTTTAAAATCTTAGCTCTTAATGTGTGTTGATATGGTGCTTATGGTTGGACACAATGATCTTAAAGGTCTTTTCCAACCTAAATGATTCTATGATTCTATGATTCTGTATTAGTCTCAGACAAATTTTGCATTTTCTTTTCTTTTTTAGCTATAATGGCATTTCTGTTTGACCTTAAGGCTTTAGTGGACATGATGTCTATTGGTACACTGCTTGCTTATTCACTCGTGGCAACCTGTGTCCTCATTCTTAGGTGAGTCAAAAACATCCTGTGCTTTAGTTTGTGTTGCTCAGTATATAAACAGACGTGCTAGATAGCTAAATGTTTAAAAATTAGCTGTATGCATATAAATGATTACTAAGAAGCAGTGACCCATCAAAGAAACCAATGATATATTGTCCTATCAGTATAGCAGTTAGTCAAGTCAAAGCTTCATGGGAAATCTAGGCACTTTTTATTTTCCAGAAGATGTACTGGTCTCAGAGCTACAGAATAATATTGATATATTGGTAGCTACAGCTCACTTTGTTGTGTTTTGCTCTTTTTCACTTAAAAAGTCAGTTTTTATTACTTAATGCTAAGTAATTAACTTTGAAAAGTGTAATAGCTTAAATTCAGCCCAGTTCAATTTTGCAATAATTTACACTTTAAAATAGAAGACTGTTCTATCCCATAGTAACTTATTTAACATATGTATTTTTAAAAATACACTAAATTAAAGCACATGTAAAATTTCAGTTTGTGCCAGTTAGTGGGCCTCTTACAGTTCAAGAAGCAAGTCAGAAAGAAGCTCCACTGCCCCTTCCCTGCTGTTTGTATGAGATTTGTACAAGACTCATCATTTATCTGACCCATTGGTGCCTTCATGTGGCTTAAAAATCTGCCCAAAAATATCCCCAGACAAACCCAGCAAAAAAGTGAGTTGCCAAAATGTGTTTATATAGGATAGTGACTAATAATATATGCCATTGCAATGCAGTTGTAAATTGAAAAATTCTAAATCTTTACTGCAAATAATTTAGTATTTAGTTACATTCCTAGAGTCATATTGCTTCAAATCCCAAAGTGAGCTTAATTTTTTTAATTATCCTGTTTGTTTTATGCATAGGTACCAACCCAGTTTAAGCTACGAGCAACCGAAATATTCTCCAGAAAAAGCAGCTTTGGCTGCATCTGAAAGGGAATGTGCAGTGAGTGAATCACAGATAAATATGATAGAGGAGAATCACTTCAGTCTGCAGGCCCTGATTAATCCATCCAGTTTCCCTACCGAGCAGACTGCAACTACCGTTAACTTCTTGGTGGGTCTCTTAGGTAAGTGTTCAGCTGTCCAAACTCCTATAACATTAACATAAATAATGGCATTTTATTAAAGACAAAATTAAAAATCCAGTGATAACACGCCTTCTTTCAGTCATCATTAAAGTGACATTCTGCAGAATGCTTTTATACTTCTTGCTGGATCCAATCTGTAGTCTATATTTTCCTTTGATTAGACATTTTCATGATAACACTTCATACTGAAGACCTGCTATCATTCTTCTTAAAAGTCATGTCCTCGTGCAGACTTTAATGCAGAGATTAAGTGACCTCTCTCCCATTTCCATTATTTTGTTTTTCACACAGCTTTCTTGGTTTGTGGCTTGAGTGTCCTCACTACTTACGGGATTGACTTCATTGCTAACTTGGAGCCCTGGAGTATTGGCCTTCTTGCTGTGTTGGTGGTGTCCTTCATAGTTGTCATTCTCCTCATCCAAAGGCAGCCTCAGAACCAGCAGAAAGTGGCCTTTATGGTGAATAACATAATCTCTGTGCTATTCTTTAATGGGAGGTGTGGATGGATTATAATAAGTGGGAGAGGGGCAGAGAGACAGAGAGATGATCCTTTTTCAGGCAGTAGTACCTAAAGGGGGGGCCTACAGGAAGGATGTGGGCGGGGGAACTAGATTAGGTGTTAGGAGGATATTCTTGACTCTGAGGGTGGTGAGACCCTGGCCCAGGTTGCCCAGAGAAGCTGTGGCTGTCCCATCCCTGGAGGGGTTCAAGGCCAGGCTGGATGGGGCTTTGGAGCAACCTGGTCTGGTGGGAGATGTCCCTGCCCGTGGCAGGGGGGGCTGGAACTCAATGATCCTTGAAATCCTTGAAAGGTCCCTTCCAACCCAAACCATTCTATGATTCTAGGTATTTTTTTTAGATATGCCCCAAAGCGCACGTTGTTGAGATCCAAGTAATTATAGATCTTAATTTAATCACTTAGACACTGGAAGATATTTCAGAAACTGGTTTGTGTGCAGTCACTTGTCTGTGTTGTGTGCTGTGGTTTGTACAGTACAGTTTGTACCTCCCAGAGTATACGCCTTTCATTTTGAGCTTTCACTTAATGTTCTAAGTTCAGTTATTTAATAGAAATAATGAAGTATACTGAGGAATGTCGAGGAATCTGGTGGAGTTGGGGAGGGGCAGAAAGAAGGAATACATAAAAATATACAAATAATATTTTTCAGCTCTAGATTCAGGAATTCATTAGTATATGTTCAGCACAAAGGGGAAAGTTTTTCTTGACAGCCTTAGAGAATATGTTTTTAAGATAATTTATTTTAAAAGTTTAAGATATGTAGAAACCAGTGGTTGAACTCGGTGAGAAAGAAAATCTCACTACATTTCAAGAAGAAAATGTTCCTATACTTTTTAGTGCGTAGATGTGTCACCTCTGGTGTGTGTTGTATAACTGAAGTGTGACATGCAAGAAATGACATTTAATGCCGGAGACATATTAAATATTTTCTTTTAGGTTCCACTATTGCCATTTTTGCCATCATTCAGTATCCTGGTAAATATTTATTTGATGGTGCAATTAAGTGGAGACACTTGGATCAGATTTAGCTTCTGGATGGCACTTGGTAGGTGTTTCTGTTCATTTCAATCACTTCTTAACGTCAGGCTTGATGAATCCCATCTTAGAACATTTTATTCTCTTCCTTTAAATACTTGAGCAAAAGTCTGTGTTTTACTAAGTCAGCTGATATTTCTGATCAAAACAAGAGAATGCCTCAGAAAGGGTATTTATATGCAGTCAAAACTGTAAACACAGTTTTGAGGTAATAGAAAGAATCAAAATCATAGGACTAATTCCAGTAAGCCACAATTTTTATTTCCTAGTAAGTATAGCTAAAATTTTGCAGAGACCTGTTTGTAACAGTTTTCTTCCCAGAACATCAGTCATTCACCTTTAAGATATGGAAAATTGTATTAATTCCATCTAGATGTGAATTAAGAGATAGTAGTTCCCATGACCTATTAGAGCATTTGATTATGCAAAATGATGCACTGTCATTTAGTGCCTGTACTTTCTATAGCAACAGGGAAGACTTGAAGCCTCCAATTCAGATACCTGAAGAAGAAACTTGTTTTGGAAAATATGTTCAGGCAGGGAGTAATAACTAACTAGTTGTTGGTGCACTACTTGCCTGAAAACCCCATTAAGTTCTCTTTTTTCCTTTTGGAAGGTTTCCTCATTTACTTTGCTTATGGCATCAGGCACAGCCTTGAAGGTCATCGTGGCGACGGAGATGACGATTCTTGTTCAGAAAACAGTGGGTTGCGAGAAAAGAACCCTGTGGAAGAAGTGGATGAACCTGAAAATGCAGATGAAAGTGATCAGTTTCTTGCACATGAAAGGACAAGTGAATGTTAATCTTTGCAAACATACAAGCCTTTTAAACCTTTAATTGACATTTTACTTGTGGACTGAAAATTCAAAAGCTTTCTGCCAACATTGTGCCTCTTGAAAGTGTTTACTACAAGGCCTGGCTGGTATTTTGGACAAGCTGCTAATCCATCAGTTCAGAACTGACAGCATGGAGATTAATATTTAAATTAAAAAACAAACAAGAGAAATACCCTCTGGCAAGGCAAAATTTGGATGCATTGTTTGGACTGTCATCCAAAATCACCGGCGATCACAAAATATGAAGAATTTTAGAGCTGCCTGCAAGAAGTTATGAATATTTGACACCGCACTGTGAACACGAGTGCCTTTCGTACCTTCTCCTTATCTGTTACATGTTTTGGTGACAATCTAATAGCTCTCTTTTTTCTACAGAAGTAACTCTTACAGGAGATAAATTGCAGACAGGCCTGGAAAGTATTTGCAAAATGAAGGGTAATGGTACAGATCTGATACTTTGCAAAAAGTAAAGGATCATATATGTATATACAAAGAAATAATTGCTTACTCTTACTAGTGAGTGGTCACGGAGAACTCAAACAGTGAAGTAACTTCAAAGGCTTTTATTCCCTCAAGATTTCTTCTTATGTGAATTCAGAGATGCTGTGTGTATAAAATAATACTCCCCAAAGGAGTTATGTTGTTTTCTGCAAAAGCACCTGAGAAATAATCTGTTGGTCACAGTTTTGACAGTGACATTCACATTTGATTTAACAAGTATTGGGCTTTTGATTTCAGAAGGGCCAGGATTTTATCCCTGCCTACATAGTTTGGTACTTACATCCAGCAGTCATCAAGTTTTCCTCCTTAATACTTATTTATTTCTCCTATACATTCTTCTCTATCATGTGGCAGAGCTGATATTTCTGAGATTAGTTGTTACACGTTGCTTCTCCTCAGAAAAATTAATGCACAAAATCCCAACCACCTTTTCAGATGGAAGGGGAGGTTAAAAAACCAGGGGGCTTAGGCTCTGGAAAAAATCCTCATCAAAAGAGTATTTCAGTGCTTCTCTAAGCCTTAAGCATGTGTTAGCACAGCAGTTTTCCATGAGCCAAGCCTTCATCCACAAATCCATTCATGTGGGTAGGATGACCAAATGCTAATTTATGTAAAGTACCAAACTGTTGCAGGAGTGCTGGGTGAACAAGTGTTTTAAAGCGAGTGAAAATGGAAGATCTTCTTTCAACAGAAAAGTCGTGTTACCTGTCAAAGGCAACCAGATACTTTAATCACTTTTTCTCAGCGAGAAGTAGGCTCGAGTCCCATGATGGATTCCAGAATATGAAGTTATTTTGCAAGAATGTATTTATAAGAATAACTTCCCTAAAGTAAGAACTGTCTTGGACTCTGTCATGGAGAGTGGCAATCCGTTGCTAGTACTAATCACTGGTATTAATCTCTGTTATTGGGTATAAAAACTTTAGGTCCCGTGAGAGCTATGTTGGCTGACAGTGAAAAGCACCTTACTTTTTATAATAGCTGGAATTTCACCAAAAAAAATGAAAAAATAGAAGAAAAAAAAAAAAGAAAAGCTAGTTAAACTGCTTCTGTCTCTTTCCTGTTCTTTGCCACAGCAATAGATTTGTGCTTTTTGATCTTAAAACAACTCCTGTTGTTGTAAGAGAGTAACATGCCTAAATGTTAAAAGGGCAGAAGGAGAAGCACTTTTTGACCCTTCACTGGGCAAGAACCCTTCGCTGGGCTGATACTCCACCGTGGGGTAGGTCTTAAGTTTTCATCCTGATCCTTGCTTCTCAGCTTGAACTGGGAGAAGAGGGTCCTGTGGTGCTGGCACCAGCGAGCGGGTCCATGTCTGCTGGTGTACCAGTGGCCTCTACTGGCTACTCAGCATTAGGAGCAGCAATCGGAAAATTCGTTAAAACAACAGGTGAAACACCTACCTCTTAACCCAGGTTCCAGCATATACATCCTCTAACTGCAGCTGCTCCTGTCCTAAGGGCTGTTCTAGTGACTGGCGGCCCTTAAAAAGGGATGAGATGCAGAGGATGAGGAGAAACTATAGGGTAGGTGGGCAATGGGATACTGATTTTTAATACATCATACTCCATCCAGAATTGGTCAGAAGTTATAGCCATTTGTTCCCAAAATTCATCATTGCTTACAAGATGCTATTAAAAGAAGGCTCAGATCTCCTATCGGTCTAATACAAGCCGATGGTACACTAAGTAAATGTGTGGTTGATCGGAACGGATGGGAATTCTCAGGGCAGTTCCTGGAGCTATTGATAATTTCCAATACTTCTATTCAGTGGGTGAAAGAGCTGTCTGTGTCAGTTGGATCTGCTGTTTTAATTGTAATTCTCAACTAGGGCCCATTTTTATGCTAAAAATGACAAAAGAACTATATGTTCTTGTCTATATTGGAAATAAGATAAAGATTAGAAATTTAAGACTTCCTAGGCTCTTGAAAGGAATCCAATCTAGTAATCCTGAGATGTCAAAACAAAGGTTTTTATTTTAACATATCCAAAAGATTGAGTAAATGAATGTATGTTCTGTTGTTATTAATCCCACAAGTATTTGAGACAGAAAAGCTGATGTTTTTACTGGAGCACGGCCTCGTTCAGTGGTTATGCTGTCGGAGGCCATTCTCAACCTGCCTTGCCCCACGCTCTTGATTCCTCAGTGCAAAGAAATAGTGTGGTTGCAGTGGGAGCAGGCCAGCAGTGCTCGGGCACAGCTTTTGCACCACGGTCTTTAGGAGCCTGGGGTGAAACACGGCTCTTTGAAAACTCCTTCCAGGCCTGGGGGTGTGGGAAGCAGAGCCTGGGGTGCTCCCTCTGGGCGCTGATGCGGCAGAGCGGGCCAGCCAGGCTCCTGAGATGCAAACCGCTGCTCTTTGGGGATGTGCAACGCAAGACCCCGCTCCCTCCCAAGGCCACCATATAGAATGTGTGTGTGTGTGTCTGTGTTTGTGTCCGTCTGACATTAGCCCATAGTGATTTTGATGTACTGATTTAAAATAATGTCTGTACTGCACTGGAATTTTCTTTTGAAGGGATACTGTCAATGTAATAAACTTCTGACGGAAGCAAGTGCCAGCTAAAGCTTCTGGAGATACAGAAATTAAATCTTCCAGTTTATTAGGACTAGATGATCTTAAAGGTCCCTTCCAACCTCGACAATTCTATGATTTACCTAACGGATGTGCCAGCACTTTGGGTATTGACAGTTTCCCCTTTCATTTGTATTAATATTTCTCCTCCCGTGCTAGAGAAACTAATTACATAAAAATACAAGACTGCTCCTGTGCAAACGTTGTTAAGGAGAGATGGGAGCAGCTGCAGCACAGGAACTATCCACTTAACTAATGAGATATAAAATGAAATTAAAGTCATTGGGTATTCTCAGTCGCTTCACCTGTGCGAAGCTTATTTATATGTGTGTATAGTTAAAGTCATTATTAGTCAGGGGCTGAGTAAGAACGTGACAAGCCACAAGTAAGGTAGTTATGCTAATTTGGGTGTGCATTTGTATATGCAATCTTGAGATCGCAGATGCTTTAGTGGGACATTGGTGGAGCTGGCTGTTTGGGGGACAGTCGTGCTGCTCCTGCCACAGGAGCCGGGCAGGAAACAAATCCTTGTTTTTTTCTCGTGTTTGCTGTGTGTCTGCAAGTGCCCAGAGAGCAGCTGAGAGTCCAGTGGAATTAAATCCTCGCTGTTATTTTTTAACAGTTGTTGATACTGTAAATTGTTCTGTGCAAATTATAACGGTATGTGTTAATACAAAATAGCTATTATTGGAGGTAGATTATTGGGTTTTTTTTCATCCTCCAAAACATGTCTTTGCGTTGGTACATTCTGGATGTGCCTTTATAGAGGAATTATTCTTACCTCGTTGGATTTAAGAAAGTAAGCCAAAGCGTATTTAAGGGAGAAAAAATAAATCTTTTTGTTCTGAGGGATAAGAGACGAGATGACATTTCTGTACAATTCATGTTACCTAAAGTGATCTTCTTGTGGTACTCCAGTCCTAATTCTGCCATAGGAAATTTTATGAGGTATCTCAGATTTCATTGTCTGTTATCCTGGATAAAAAACTATTCCTTTAATAATTCTGTGATTTTTTCCTGCACAACAAATGCTGGTTAGATGCCTGAAATCTGTCACCATGTGTTAAAACCGTTTATATTAACTGCTGTTAGAGAACTATCAGTAATAATTGTCAGTACTAGTGATATGTAGAGTTAAGTAGGAAATGTTACTGTGCCATCCAGAAACTTCAAATGACACAATGAATTTAGAGGCAAAACCTGGTAAAGCTGAAATATATAGTCTGTATTTTATTATTTGATAAATGTACAAGTCTAGGCACCTTTCCCCTAAAACGTATGCAAAGATATATATATATATATATATATATATATGAAATAAAAGGCATACTGTTTCCATGGAGGTTTTAGTAAGTGCCAATATGAGATGTGCCGTGAGCACCCTGAAATACTGATTGACCTGGGTGAAATCCGGGACGGTGCAGGAAATCTGTGTGGGGCTGTGCAATCCTTTTAATCAGGGGTGATGCCTTCGACACTGTGGTGTGTTTTGTAGGGTAGGAATTTAATTCACGTGATGGCTGGCATGAGTTACTTGATGACATAAAAAAGCACCTTTTAATGCTCTTGGGCCCTAATTCTTCCTAGACTTTGGAAGTTTGTGCTAATTGCAGTATGTTCATGGAAAGCACTGGGATGGCTCAGTGTTAGGCAAATCTGTATTTTACAGAAAAAGCAGATGGTATTTCCCATAGTGCAGGATCTTTGTATTTGTTTTTAATTTCCTGTACCTTTAGTGTTTCTTTCTGGTATATGTTTTGAGGACCTCTGAATTTTAATAGTTGGACCTTTCCAAAGGTAAATATAACGCCTTTGCCATCTCCTGATCCATTTTCCATTCGATTTTAGAAATCAAACTCTTTAACGTTAGCCAAGTTGAAGGATTTCTGTGCCTAGATATGCATTACAAAGAACTGTGTATATATATATCATTATTTTTATTGTCAGTTGGACAAATTCTGTTGTCTTTGTATTTTTTCATTGAGCCTTGTGCCAGGTAAACTCCAGCTTCACCAAGTTTAGTTGGAGTCAGGACAAAGGATAAAAGGATTTCAATGTTTAGGAGGGCTTTTCTCTTTTGTGTTACCAGAAAGCAAAGCATGAAATATGTGTTTCATATCTTTAAAAATAGTTATGTGTGCATCATTTTAAAAAAATATTAGTGTTCATATTCATTTTAACTTTTTGTTCATATGTACATTGTAGTGATTATTTCTGTATTATAATGCTGCTGAGCATTTAAAATGTAGATAGAATGATTATGATGCAACTGAAACTACAAATTTGTATTTCTTTGAAGTGTTCTACCAAAATGAAAAGTCTTGAATTTTTATGAATGTAAAAATGCTTCTATTTAAGAATATGGTGCTTGTTTTTTCACTTTTACAATAGAATTGTAATCAGCAATATTTTTAGTTACCTTAGTTCCAAATTCTGATGGAAATTACATTGCTCTTCATTTACTGTAAAATGTGCTTCACGGGATGACGATTGTTGTTCTGTATTTTTTAAATAAAGCTGAATATCACTTGTACGTACTTCATACAACAGCTTTAACTCCAACCACCGCTATAATATTAGTAAACACTAAAATCATGTAGGGACTTTATAACCATTAGTGTGTCAGGTATCTCATGCCATGACATTATACAAACCATAACTCTTAATAACACGATAGCTCGCATGGGGTTTATAGAGGGGGAAAAAAACAACTGTGTTTTGTGTTTAAATTTGTTACTTTTCCAGTCTGGAGATGGGGATGGTAGAAGCCTTTGTTTCGTACTTGCTTCCAAGCTCTCAAGAAGTCACTGAAATAGAGAATAACACCCTTTGATTTGGGCATTTTGTCTTACAGTGCCAGACCAGAAATGATGTTAGGTTTGAGTTCCAGAGCGAGCAGCCCTCAGTGCTCAACTTTCTGAAGCACCAGGCCTCGTCCTGGCAGCGTCCAACCGCGGAGCTGGATGGATAAACTCCCTGGGGGCGTCCCCTTTTTGGAAAAAAAAAGGAAAAAGAGAAGAACTTCCTCAGCTTTGAATAGTACTGTGGGTATATCAGGAGAATAATAGCATGAGGCAATGGATAACAGTACCCTTTACGCTCAGAACCACACTCCCAAGGTTTGTCACAGCTCCCACACGCTGCTCCTGCTCTACAGGCCCAAAGGGCAACCAACAGCTCACACCTGCTCAAAGCCACCTCTGCCAAAGGGCAACCAATTGCTCGCACCTGATCAAAGCCACCTCTGTCAAAGGTCAGCGGTCACCGAGGAGCTCGTTCAAGCAATAATCCTCCACAGGTGTGCCCGAGGTCCAGGTTCCTGAGGACGCAGCTCCGTTCCCGCCCTCAGCACCGAGCCCCGTCCCTGAGGGGCGACCCGCGGGGACACCCTCCCGACAGGCCCGGGCCCGCCTGTGGGGCGTCGCGGCCGGTTCCTCCTCCCTCAGGGAAGAAGCGCGGGTGGCGGCGGCCCTTGAGGCGGCAGAGCCTGCCCCCGCCGGGGAACCCCGGGCAAGGAGCCCCGCCATGGGCCGGCCGGCTCCTCCCAGCCTCGCCTCGCCTCGCCTCAGCCCACCGCTCCCGCCATGCGGCTGTGGGTGCTTCTCAGCCTGCTGCTGCTGCAGGAATCGCTGCCGCACGGTGAGCCGCCGACCCCGCCGGGTTCCCCCGCTTTGCGAGTCCCCTCGGGCTTTACTGATGGCCGGGGCCGCCTCTCCCGCCCTCAGCGCGGCCGCCCCTGCCCCGCCAAGCCGCCCCCCCCCCCATGACAGCCCCCGGGAGCCATCTCGGGGGGCGGCGGCGGGTCTGCCGTCCCGCCGGGCAGAGGCGGAGGGGAGGCGGGTTGCTCCCTTCTCTGGTTGCTCCCATCCCGGAGCTGTTCTGCCACCGAAATCGTTATTTCGTCCCGTCCTGTTTTTTTTGGGGAAGAGGCGTTTGCGGCGGCACCACCGTCCCCCTCTTCCCCCCCGCCTTTCTCCTGAGGGGCGAAGCTGAACTCCCCCCCCCCCCCCCCCGGGGGGGGGC